TTAACCTGAATGTTTCTCTTTACCTTAAAATCTCAGTCTCTTTAAATCATTTTCAATCTTTATGTTCCCTGTCTTTTCTTTGCTTTCAATCCCAATTTTATGCCTTGTTCTTCCTGAAAATATTGTGAGTTCTAAACTAATTTCAGACATCGGTACATTTGGTTTTGATCCTTGCAAAATAAATTCTGTGCTGTTACATTTCCCCCCTCAAAACAATACAAAACAAAATTGATAAAACATTGCTGCAATGGTACAAAGCAGGACAGGCTTGCATTTGAACAGGACATTTTACATATGCTAAGCTTTTACTTAGAACAAGCGGCTTTAAAATTAGATTATTCTTAAAGAGCGATAATTTAAAACAACTGTGATTTAAAACAAACTTAAAAAAGATTAATCCTTTAAATCCAGAAATATTCTAATGGGTTTGTGAAACCCTATCTTTTGCCAAGTTCTGACTAAAGAGCACATGTAACCTTTTCTAATAGGCCATGTAGTTCAAGTATATAAATGTTTCAATCCAAAGTCAACCTCAATATAAGCAAATGGAACTTCTATTAAAGATAGAGGGCAGAATTTAGCACTTTATACCTACATTTATAGAAGAGACGATTGGTATAAGCAAGATTTTGCCTTTCTGGAAGTTGTAACCCCTTATGTTAGGGTAAAATTTGGTCTGAAAGATTTGTCTCTATAGGTATGTCTACACTACCCTCCTAGTTCGAACTAGGAGGGTAATATAGGCATACCGCACTTGCAAATGAAGCCCGGGATTTGAATTTCCCGGGCTTCATTTGCATAAGCAGGGAGCCGCCATTTTTAAAACCCCACTGGTTCAAACCCCATGCAGCGCGGCTACACGGGGCTCGAACTAGGTAGTTCGGAATAGGAATCCTAGTTCGAACTACCTAGTTCGAGCCCCGTGTAGCCGCGCTGCATGGGGTTCGAACCAGCAGGGTTTTAAAAATGGCGGCTCCCCGCCTTTGCAAAAGAACCGCTTATGCAAATGAAACCCGGGAAATTCAAATCCCGGGCTTCATTTGCAAGTGCGGTATGCCTACATTACCCTGCTAGTTCGAACTAGCGGGGTAGTGTAGACATACCCTATGAGACATATAGGACTGACGCATCATTGTGTTACTCAGTCACTGGAGTCAGACTGACAAAAATGGATCAGTTCAGTACTGAATCAGGCCTGTAGTGTTCAGAGTTGAGGAATATGTTAAATAATTACCTGAAAATTTGTTTGAATAAAAGCCCAGCTCGGCATTATTTCTGTGTTTATTTTATGAAAATATACATGGAAATAAATTCACTGGCAGGAATGTTCACAAGGACAGCAAATTTTAATCAAGTACTACAAAATAGTAGCCAAAGACACTTTAACTCAGAAAAGTATTTCCACTGGAAATTTGGAAACATTCAGACATTCAGGAAATATAAATGACACGTTGTAACCTGTCAGTCATTGTATCATGATATAAACCTTTTGGCAGGCAGAATCAAAATGAACCTTCACGACTGAAATTTCAGATACTGATTACTCACAATGAAGTACTCATGTAAAAACTATAGATCAAGATTATCTGCAGAAATGACTCCACAAATAATTTCTCCAATAGTGAACAAATTAAAAAAAAAATTAATTACTGATCAGTAATTCAAATTCATTAACTAAATTACTTGCTATATTATAAATAAGTAAATGAATAAAAACAAACTGTTTAGTTGCATATGGTGTACTGTATATAAATGATAATTTACGTTATTTCAAAGGCTACAGTCACAATGTTTCAAAGTGTTTAAAAGTGGACATTTTTAAGCCTTTATGAAAACTTTAAAAACACATAAGGATGGTCCAGTAAAAAGAAACACACCTCTTCTACATCATTGTCCAAAGCTATGATTTGTAGTGGAGAAGTTAAATTCTGGTTGTCGGAGATGGTTGTGCCCACTGGGGAGGACTCCAGAATAAATCCCTTATACAGAGATTCTGTGAAGTAAGGCTTCTGATTGTTCTCATCCAGGACTTCGATATGTAAATTGGCAAAGGCAGGAAGTGGATGACCATTGTCTTGTTCTGCCTAAAAAGACACAAATCTGATTTGCTATGGACTCTTTTTAAACAATTTATTAACTTCTTTATATAGTATATAATTGCCTCTGCTTAAGTACAGCTATGAGTAGTCAATAATTGTTTCTGGTTTACTTTCAAGGGCAACAAATCTATTACAAAGATAACTAATATTCAGCATTTCTCCTCTTATTTTGAAACATTGTATCAGAGAAATATATATACCTTAAGCAAAAGAATTACTAATAAAGAACTACTATAGGTTTAATCACGATACCAACTGATTTTAATATTTATAGAGAAACTCAAGACTTGTGCAGCATAATAAATGGTATTGTTTAATATATCAGTGGTTATGAAAAATGTCTTTAAATAAGAGTGAAAGAATACACACATTTCTGTATAAATGTATACCTTGGCCAATGTAATTACCAGCTAGAATAAAGTCTCTGTCAATGAAATGACATTTTGTGGGAGATAGGGAATTTGTCTCGGTACTTCCAACAATGGTTACAGATTATTAGTACTTTCTCAGGATATTGTCCTGAGATATGATAAGCCGAATAATTTTCTAATATTTGTCTCTCTAATGTTAGCACTTCAGATTCAATCTTATTTTTGTTATCAACTTGCATATTTTAACAAAAAATACAAACAACAATCATCATATTCCAATGTCAAGAACTGTAGCTACAGGTTTTAAGAGTTGATATAATAGGGTACGTCTACACTAGCCCCCTAGTTCGAACTAGGGAGGCTGATGAGGGTGACCAATATTGCAAATGAAGCGCAGGATTTGAATACTCCGTGCTTCATTAGCATGTTCCCGGGTGGTTGTCATTTTGGAAACTGACTAGCTTGGAATAACTGCCCGCGTCTACACGTGGCAGTGAAACAGGAGTTCGAAGTAAACCCCTTAACTTGAATTAGCTGTTAAACCTCATTCCATGAGGAGTAACAGCTAATTTGAGTTAGGGGTTTACTTCAAACTCCCATTTCACTGCCGCGTGTAAACGCAGGCAGTTATTCCAGGCTAGTCAGTTTCCAAAATCCGGGCTAATCGGTTTCCAAAATGGCGACCGCCTGGGAACTTGCTAATGAAGCACGGGATAAATTGCTAGTGAAGTACGGGATATTCAAATACATATACATATATGTTCAAGTTTCCTGAAGAGACAAGAGAAATGCCATACACTTGCAACAATGGGAAGCCCATTATAAATTACTGAATTGTTGAACGTTACCCAGTAAATCATCCCTTAAAAACAAACAAGTCCACAAAGCACATTTTTTCTTTCATTTCAAAAGTGTAGTTAATTTTAATTCTAGCAAAATAATTGTGTGTTAAATACTTTTTAAAATTAACAATATAATGATATGAGGCTACATCCTTGCACTGTGCTAGTCTATTTCTCTTGAGCAGTGGGAATGTTTAGTAAAGTACTCTAATGTTTAGTAAAATACACAGCACCCAGATCAGTCAGAAGAAAAAGCATAGCATTTTATAAGCAACACAGACTTTAGCTTAACATTTAGTTCACAATGGGCATGTTCAGATGCTAAACAGATACTATAATATTGGGATGGGAGTTACATGGTACACTATGGTATACTTTTCCATTGTCATTCTTATAGAGGGCTGATATTTTTGGGTGCAAATTCTGAGTGCAGATAAAAAACACTCAAATTAAAACAGACCTAATATACAACTGAAGTGACCAATAGGCATAGAGAGTATGCTTATTAAATTTGCAGATGTTGCCTAGCAGGGAGAGGTTGCAAGTGGTTTGGGGGATAGGGTCATAATTCAAAATGATCTGGACAAACTAGGGAAATGGTCTGCCCCACAAAAGCTCATCACCTAATAACCTATTTTGTTATTCTTTAAAGTGCTACATGACTGCTTTTTTGTTTTACCAAGATCATACTAACACAGCTATCTCTCTGTGAGTATTCAGGATGAAGTTCAGTAAGGAAAAATGCAAAGTACTCCACATAGGAAGGAACAATCAGTTTTACACATACAGAATGGGAAGTAACTGATTGGGAAGAAATATTACAGAAAGAAATTGTGGGGTCATAGTAGACCACAAGTTAAATATTAGGGTATGTCTACACATCAAAGTTAATTCGGAATAACAGCTGTTATTCCGAATTAACTTTGATGTGTAGACATACCCTAATATTTAACTTGTGGTCTACTATGACCCCACAATTTCTTTCTGTAATATTTCTTCCCAATCAGTTACTTCCCATTCTGTATGTGTAAAACTCAATAAGCGCTCTGTAGATGCTTATTCTGAAATACGGGGCCTCCAGCCATTTCCCCTGGTGGCCACTCTGGGCCAAACCAGGAAAACTCTTCTCCTTCCCCACAGCCCCGGAGCCCTTAAAGGGGCAGACTCTGGCCACAGTGCCTGTGCCAGCTCCAAGCCTGCCAGCCCAGAGCCATCAATCCCTACCCTGACCCAGTGGCCCCAAAACATGAGCCAGCAAGCCATTGGCAGCCAGCCCTCCACTGCGCCCCAGGAGCAGTCTGCCAGCTCCCAGGAGCCTGACAGGGCCCGGAGAAGGCGGGCACCTTCCTGGTCCAGGGCAGAGATCAGGGTGGACCATACTCAGGTTTGGGGGATGCCCCCAACATCCATGATCTCCACACTAGACAGAGGAACACAGCCATCTATGGCAGGAAAGCTGCCAGCCTGGCCACCAAATGCCACATGCGAACCCAGGAGCAGGTTTGCACGAAAATCAAGTTGGTCTGGCAAGAACCCCAACCCTGAGCTTCTCCTCCCCCTACCTCTCCCTTCCAGCTCCCTCCTCCCAGTTTTCCCCCTCCCCCCTCACCCACCCTCATTCCCACCCCAGTTTTGGTCAATAAAGAGAGTTTCTTTTTGGCAAGAAATGTGTTTTTATTTGACATCAGGAAGGGGGGTTAGGGAGGGATAAGTGGAAGGAGGGAGGAATGAGGCACAAGCCCCCAGTGGGGCAGACCAGGGAGGCTCTTAGTGCTCCTCAGGGTGAAAGCTCTCCTGCAGGGCCTCCTGGATACTGACAGCCCCCCAAGAATGTGGATTGGATAAATGGACGGTAAGATGGATAGAAAGATGGCTAGAAGGACGGGCCCAGCGGGTAGTGATCAACGGTTCGATGTCAGGATGGCGGTCGGTTTCTAGTGGAGTACCCCAAGGTTCGGTTCTAGGACCAGTTTTGTTCAATATCTTTATTAATGACCTGGATGAGGGGATAGATTGCACCCTCAGCAAGTTTGCAGATGATACCAAGCTGGGAGGGGTTGCAACTGCTTTGACGAATAGGGTCATCATTCAAAATTATCTGGACAAATTGGAGAAATGGTCTCAGGTAAACAGGATGAAGTTTAATAAAGACAAATTCAAAGTGCTCCACTTAGGAAGGAACAATCAGTTTCACACATACAAAATGGGAAGTGACTGTTTAAGAAGGAGTACGGCAGAAAGGAATCTAGGGGCTATAGTGGACCACAAGCTAAATATGAGTCAACTGTGTGACGCTGTTGGAAAAAAACCAGATATTCTGGGATGTATTAAGAGGAATGTAGTAAGCAAGACATGACAAATAATTCTTCTGCTCTACTCTGCACTGATCAGGCCTCAGTTGGAGTAGTGTGTCCAGTTCTGGGCACTACATTTCAAGAAAGATGTGGAGAAACTGGAGAGAGTTCAGAGAAGAGCAACAAAAATGATTAAAGATCTAGAGAACATGACATATGAGGGAAAACTGGAAAAATTGGGTTTGTTTAGTTTGGAAAAGAGAAGACTGAAAGGAGACATGATAGCAGTTTTCAAGTATAGTTTGGACCTCCCTGGTCTGGCACTCTGGGAGCTTTAGTGGTCCCAAAGTAGGCAGTTTTCCAGACCAGAGACATCAAAGCTCCCCTTCCAGACATCAGCCCCACTTCTAGGTGCCAGCCCCAGTCACTGGGCTCTGCTCCCAATCTTGGCTAAGGCTGTACATCTCGCCGCCAGCCCTAGCTCCCAGCCGTGCTGGCCTTTCTGCCTACAGCCCAAGCTGGTGTTGCATTCCCAGCTGCACTGGCCCTACTGCCACCAGCTCTGGCTGGGGCTGTGCTCCTGGCCTTTGGCCCACACTTCTGGCCTCTGGTCTGTGTTGTGCTTCTGACCCTGGCTTCCCCCACTCCCAGCCAGGCATTCTGTCTAGCAGTACCCTTAGTCCTGCTTGCACCACGGATTTAGCAGGACCAGAGAGTACCAGATTTTAGAGTTTCAACCTGCACCAAAAAGGGTGATATGAGGAAGAGGGAGAAAAATTGTTCTCCTTGACCTCTGATGTTAGGACAAGAAGTAATGGGCTTAAATTGCAGCAAGCAAGGTTTAGGTTGGACATTAGGAAAAACATCCTAACTGTCCTAATTGCCTGGGGTGGTTGTGGAATCTCCATCATTGTAGATATTTAAGAGGAGGTTAGGAAAACATCTATCATGGATGATCTAGATGGTGCTTAGTCCTGCTGTGAGGGCAGGGGACTGGACTTGAGGACCTCTTGAAGTCCCTTCCAGTTCAAGTTTTAATATTCTATGAATCTATGATTATCTCTAGTTTTTCAAATTACATTTAGTATCTTAGAACCTCCTCCACAATATTTGAAATATATGGATTTTAAATATAATAAATGCATCCTCCTGACTCCTGCCAAACCATGAAAAGTTCATTCCTATACATAGTATGACCAAGCAGAGTAAAAAAAATTGTTGTACCAGATACAAACAGTAGAGCACTTAGGAAGTTGAACAGAGTTTGGAGCAAAGAGAAAAATTAAGAGTAGACACAATCACAGTTATGTTTCTCAAAATGAAAGATGACACATTCAAAGATTCAAAAGAAACACATTCAGAGCACAAAGTTACTTGGGGAAATTCTTCACTCTGCAGGTGTCAACTGTTAAATGAGAAGCTAACAATAGTGTCATCAACATACTTTTAACAGACCCACTCCTAAAAGTGTATCTACT